CAATTCAAACGTGCGGCGAGATCGATCGATCGTTACAACTCTCTGCGCGCCTAGTAACGATCGATCGATCTCGCCGCACGTTTGAATTGGGCAGTGGACCGGCCTAAGGCAGCGATTTTTAATAATTAATAACTCGTTAACTATTGCAAAACCTGCAAAGTGGTACAGGACTTTTCGACTTAGTCTAGTCCACTCTATCCCACAATAAGCGTTGATGCGGGTATTACATAACACCCTGTATATATTTTTTTTCTCAACAATTATCGACAACGGCGAGTAAATTATCTCACGGAACGATTAATCGATCGAGAAGGTCAGTGACACGGGTTAACACGCCGATTTCCGGTAATGGAGGCACTCAGGCGTTAATTTCGAATGACCATCTCAGGATCGTACCGTTAGCATCTCCTTCATCGCGAGCAACTTTACTTCCTACCACGTGCCGGGAATTACTTAAGTCACGAGTGAGTTAATATACCGTAAAGGTTGAATCGCGGCTGTGTACCCCCGCGATATCAATTCCGCTCGCGGGGGCGAAGGAGCAATCGCGTACCACACAGGCCCCGTGAAATCGCCAAGCTTTTCACTCCGGGCTGCTATTGACTCTCTGTCGCGTTTGCACAACTTTATTCCCACGTAAACCCTCCGTTTTCCAACAAAAAAAAAACGGAAATTACGCGTCTGTATTGAAAGGCTCTTCATCATCGGCCATATATATATTTTTTTAATACGGACTCGGAGGAGGATTTGAAAAAAAAAAGTACCGACGTACACTCCTCTCGCTCTCCGCTCGTGGAACGCTCCGCGCGCGTACTTGTTGCGGCAAAGTGTTTTCTAGCCGGGCGATTTCCAGCCGGCCGGCCGGTCGGTCGGTCGGTCGGTCGGACGCGGGGAATTTATCGGCACCGGAAAATAAATACGGCATTAATCTGCTGTAATTGCGCAGATACGGGAGAGTATCAGCGGCGCTAATTTACGGGCCTTATTACAGGCTCGGGCCGAGCCGAGCCCGAGCTCTCGCTCCGAAGATTCGGGATTTACACTCTCTTAACGCTGATGAATGTTCTAATTGTGTACTGATAACTTGATATCGCAGCGCCGCGGTATCCCGCTTCATTTCACCTTAATCAACCCTCGCAATTAATAACGCGCAGGGCGAGATTGTGAATCGAGCTGAAAGACGACGAGCTCCCGCAGTTTCGCGCGGGTAAAGTCCCTCCCCGAGGGGCCCCTTTTGCTCACATATTTAAGGGGATGCTGGAGTGATTCTGCACTTTTGCACCTTTCTAACCTAAAAACTGTCAGTTCGCGGAAACATTTGTGTAATATACAAATTAAATGGCTTACGTGTACAGATCGAGAGCAGCTTGCTGTTCCGGCCAAATGAAAGAACAATATGGCATCACTGAAACTAAGTTTGTAAGGCTAATAAAAAATAATAGTGAGCAACACATACATACAGTACATGTAGTATGTGTGTTGCTCGCTATTATTTTTTATTAGACTTACAAACTTAGTTTCAGTGATGTCATATTGTTCTTTAATTTAGCCGGAATAGCAAGCTGCTTTCGATCATCTGTACACGTGCCATTTAATTTGTGTATTACACAAATCTCTCCACGAAACAGACAGTTTTAAGTGCAAAAGGTGCGAAAGTGCAGAATCACTCCAGCATCCCGTGTAATTATATAATTCGAAATCGTCATAAAAGAGGGAAGAGGCGCAACGCAGGAAGATTCAACGATCATTGGCGAAGAGAAATGAAGAAAAGAGTGGAGTGACGTTCATTTGAACGCGTTTGAACAGTGCGTTTTAAGGTTACGTCCCAGGCAGCAACGTCACGTGATTTTCACGTTAATTTTTGGTCAGTCGTAACGTCATTTATCCTTTTATGAGTACGTAATAATAACGTAAAAATGACGGGAATAAGTCACAGCCCACAGACGTCATAACGAAACGTGAAAATGACGTGTTATTATAACCTTTTTACTCTATTTTGACGTAAGAAAGACGTCATTTTAATATTTTAGAAAAAATAAAAAATATATAGTACATATTTATTTTACATTTATTTATTGCTGATATGTAATTTATCCGGCACAAAATGGCAATCGGCACTGCGCGACGCACGCGCGGGCGCCAGATTCTGAGTAGTTCGGCCAAAAACTCGGAAGCAAAATCCAGTCTCGTAGGGTATAAAAGGGTATAAAGGGGTTAACCCACTGGAATACTTCCCCTGGCTTCCACGCGGGCCTCCTTTTATACCCTACGAGACTGGATTTTGCTTCCGAGTTTTTGGCCGCCACCATGCGCGGCCTAGCGGCGGTCGGCGAACTACTCAGAAGCTGGCGCTCGCGCGCCCGCGTATTATAAACGTATTATAAACGTCTTTAAATTTACGTTATTATTACGTTAGAATATTAACGTATCTTAAACGTCAGTTATTGGGTATATGACGTCGAGGACCACTAATCACTACTTATCGACGTGATAATCACGTGACGTTGCTGCCTGGGCGTATTTCCGAAACCTGCTTCTCCGAGGAAAACCTTACTCGACGGCCATTCCGAAACCCTCTCGGGCGTTTCTCATCGTTTCCGCTCCTTCTCTTGAGTAAAGTTTCCTTCAGAGAAAACGGTTTCGAAGCCTAAGAAAAATTACACGTACCTTGTACTCCCTGTTCGAGAAACGTTGCTTCGCAAGATGCGGGGGCAGGTTGCCGCTTTACCGAGAGTCGCTACAAGCGCGCTGCGATCAGCTGCGATGTCCGGTAACAACGTCGTCGACGTTACTTCGCAGCGCTGGATCCAAACCTAACCTAACCTAACCTGCGCCACGGTCGGTGTGTGTGTTGTCTCGAGTCGCTCGGATCCCTGGCTGGGCCTGGCTGGGTGGAATTCGCTGAGAGACAAGAACGAGCGCATCGATAACGGCGACGGGATGTCCGGGTACGCCGGTCAGGACAGCAATTACTGGGCCCAGCAGCAGCAGTCGCCGCCGCAGCCGCCGCAGGGCCAGTTCAACTTCGAGGCGTCCGGTTTCGGTCAACCTAACCAACAATTCGAGTTCCAGACGTACGAGCAGATGCCCGGCGATTACTCGTACGGGCAGAAGAGCTTCCTGGACCCCACGCAGAGCCCGTACAGCGGCAGCCTGTTCGCGCAGGACGACTATACGAAAGGTAGAGAGATCGGGACGCGTCGCGCCCGCTTGTCTCGTCCTCGAGCGGAATGACGCGTGTGCGTGACGCGCGACAAATTGACAATGGGCTGCAAGTATCTCGGACGCGGAAGTCGCGTGCCGTTGGAATACTCTTGGAGGGAAAGTCTCGGAAATGAAAATTCAGAACGACGGGCAGCTTGTTGTACAGCTTGTCGTATCGTGACGTCCGCTCGAGGATTGGAATAGTCGATATGCGCGAGGAACCTTGGGACATTTGTGGCACTCTTTCAGGCACCACCGGCTTCGGGGAGGAGGAGGACGAGCCGCCCCTGCTGGAGGAGCTCGGCATCGATCCCGATCGGATAATACAGAAGACTCTGGCTGTGTTGAATCCCTTCCACAGGAAAGGGCAGATCGACGACGCGAGTTACCTGCTGCAGGACTCGGATCTGGCGGGGCCCGTGGCGTTCTGCCTGGTCCTCGCGGCGTTTCTCCTACTGGCTGGCTCCAAGGCGCACTTCGGCTACGTGTACGGACTGGCCATGACCTCCTGCATACTCATGTACATTCTGCAATCCCTGATGAGCAGCAGCAGCAACAACATCACTCTGTCGTCGGTCGCGTCCGTGCTGGGCTACTGCCTGCTGCCGGTGGTCGTTCTGGCGGGCCTCAGTATCTTCACCACGCTGCGAGGTCCGATGGGCCTGGTCCTGGCGGTCCTGGCTGTCGCCTGGGCGTCCCTCTCTGCTTCTAGACTCTTCTCCACCATGTCGGGGGAAGAAGACCAGAAGCTTCTCATAGCGTATCCGTGTTTGCTTCTCTACGGCGTATTTACGTTGATAATTATATTTTAAGTAAGGAATTTATATTGGCTGTATATACAGGTTTCATGCCTGACTGCAAATAAACCTCTCGGATCTGCGCAGGAAGCATATTTTGTTTTTACACATAGATTGGTGCCAATGATTATGTAATAAGGCAAAATTTATCTCTACCCTTTGTCGATGCAGTGGATTTTATCGTGTTTTTAAATCGTTTCCCGAATTATATGTCTTGATAAGCACGTTTTGGCAGACATGCTTATTTCGTATGTGGCGATAACATATGAGCGTACGTTATGTTTAGTGCTAACATTCAATTAAACCATTTTTGTTATACAATTTCTAAATAAAATTTATGATATTAACTTATGTTATCCTTGTCCAAATCTTGTCGCTCGTGGGCTGTAAGGCTATTTTAATTAATTATTAAATAACGAATTGTTTCTAGAGTATCATCACTATGTTAATTTCATGCCCAGTGTTTACACGTATATTTAGTTGCCCTTAATTAAAAATGTATTTTTCACTTAGCACGCGACATGTTAAAACTTTATAAACAATATGACTATGTACAACATTTGAATAACTTCGATAAAACGATCGATTCAGGAATAAAAATATGCAAAGCACAAGGAAATTGTAGCAACGATCGAATATTCGTGACTTTTCGATGTATCAAGATATTGTAATAAATTTACGTTGGCAAAACACGAGATATGTATATTTTTATAACGTTGCAATATTCTAATGTATCCAAATAAAATATTCAATCAGGAAATGAGGTATAAATTGTTCTTGTGTTTCCCATTCTGTCTTCTTCCAAGATCCTATTAATTTATAAGATTCTGGTAAATTGTTTGAGGTCCTCTGAGCACAGCTCGGCTTCACCTTATTTTGCAGGTGTTCCATCTGATCCGGTACAAGTGCAACAACCAATTCTAGTTTGTACGGCGCACATCCATTGGGATCCCGAATTCTGCGATGTAAAATTGATACAGACGATGATGCTGAGCAATGAATTACGTTCCATTTTGGACCAAGCTGGCCAGTCGTTCAGACCCGGCCACAAGCCTGACTCTTCCAACGTTCAACTACTGCTTTGTGGCGACTTCAATTCCCTACCTGATTCTGGTAACGCGCCTATTGATAATTTCATTTAAAGCTTTCTTAGAAACCAGCTGTTGCGTTGCTTAATAATGCAGTTAATGTACGCGATTGGTAGGAGCCCATATTAATGGTAATAAATCACTGGCGCAGGTGTGATCGAGTTTCTTACATCCGGACGTGTGGCGGCCGATCATCGTGATTTTAAGGATCTAGCATACAAGTCGTGTTTACAAAAGATCTCTGGCTGCGATAAACCCAACGAATTCACGCATTCTTTCAAGCTTGCATCCGCCTATAGCGAGGACATTATGCCCTACACCAATTACACGTAAGTACAGCCTTATATACTACTTTACGCGTACACGAAACGTATGTACGGATATTTAATGCAATTTGCTTTGCTTGCAGATTCGAGTTTAAAGGAATAATAGATTACATTTTCTATTCGAAACAAAGTATGGTGCCGCTGGGCCTCTTAGGTCCACTGAGCCCAGAATGGTTTAAAGAGCATAAAGTGGTAGGATGTCCTCATCCCCATGTTCCATCGGGTGAGTTTTATCTTGTGTTCTTTCGTGTAGTTTTCCACCCCGCTTAGCGAGGTCGAGGGTTGACGTCTGGTCTCTTCTTTCAGATCACTTTCCTCTGTTAGTGGAATTAGAAATGACACCGACGGTAGGAACAAGCAACGGTTTGATCTCACGCAGGTAGCAGCCGCTGCGAACTAGGCCCAAGTAACCGTAAGAAGACGAGGAATCAATGACGAAGATAAAAAAGGGGGAAAAAAAAGGATTTGCATCACTTCTTCTCTACTTCTGGCTCTAGCAATATCACTCGCATTACTCTTACTACAATAGCGAATGTTACACATACACAAATACTCCATACATTGCCGCACATTCAACCAACAGCGATCGCTGTCGACGGGATACCGACGGACACACAATTCTAACGACCAGGTGAAGGGAGCCGTGTTGTAATGCGTTTAGCTAGCCCATGTATAGTGTATTGCATTTTTAAGAGCTATCTTACTCCCACGCCTAAAGATTATTGTAACCTCTCTACTTACCATCGTAATATGTGTAGATACCTATTTTCCTACAAAAAAAAAAGGTAAAGAAAATGAAAACGACGATATTCCGATCAAGAAGCCTCTGTGATATCGACATTTAACACAATTGGAACAAATTCACACATTTATTAGTAAATGGACCTAGTAGCGGTGTACTAGAGAGAGAGAAAAAAAAAGAGAGAGAGAGAGACACATACCTTAAAGGAAACCTCTCTTCGTCCCTTCCTAAATGTCATTACAACATTCTCCAAGCCAACCTTTTGATAAGAATGCTGCCATCCACACAATGAGAAAAAAAAGAAGAAAAGAATTGTATTTTTAAACAAAACGAAAACAAAAAAAGATGTGAAAACATACATGCTATACTGGGCTGTGCGAAGTGATTGGAGTGATCGACTTAAAACAATTTCAATGCAAGTACAAATCTGTTCTATTGGCCACGTATATATTGATATAATATCGTAATGTTATATAAGATGAAAACAAGAAAACATATATAGATGATATTGTAGCGGGTGTATTTGTAAGTACGATATAATGTAATGATGTTCATCACACACGTCTGTCATAACGTCAAGTGAGATCAGTTCAACATTCGCCCCACATTTTAGGTATCCGTTCGGGTCTGATTATTAATGTATATGCGCTCCGTATCACAATCTACTACTTGTTAATTCAGTTGCCACCATAAGGAACACGAAGGAATATTATATTTTCTTTCTTTCATACACTCGCGCGCGAGCGTCTTCGCGTTCTTTCCGCCACTGCATTTCTATTCGCATGACACCTTGCTTATCCTTAGTCGCAGCTACCAAAAAAAGAAACAATGGGTAAGCTCTAATTATTTTAGTTACCGTAGCACGTCTATTAGCAGTTTTAACGATATTGTAAAATAGGCAATATTTTTTTGAACGCATGATTGCAGTGCAACTGTACTTGCACGTTAAAAATCTCTCTCTTCGGATTTACCGAAGCTTTATTTGCAACTTTTATTTTTCATTTATTTATCTATCGCAAATGATTGAATTGTGCAATCTATATTTACAACACTTTACACGCAGATGTACACCGATTCAGCGAAAGTTTTATCGAAATAGGGGGAACACCTTTTTTTATATTGCTGTATGTAATCTACTCTTTAATTTTCTTTCTTGCAGCAATAATGAACATCCATGTACTAAGAATGTAGATATAATTTTCTTTATATATCTGTTGTAAATATGACGATGGGATTTTGCAATTAATATACAGCTTTATCCTTGCTTTAAAGAACAATGGGAATTTGTATTAAATTATTTAATACGACATATATACTTGGATTCTGTAATACCGCGTTACAGAGTAGAATTCAATATCGTGCTTCGTGCATTCCCAAACAACACGTACGCCTTAAAGATGTCTTTTAGACATGCATGCTGTATGGGTTATTTCGTAATTTCTTTCTTTTTCAAAATTATTGAGCAAGGTGCACAAATACTTAAATTTTCCGCCTGTCATTGGTATATGTGCAGATCTCATAAAAATATTTTTTAGGTTATTATAATGTGCGATAAACAATGTAATTATAGTCACACGTTGATTCGCAAAGCAGTATAACATCAAACGTGAACGGTACCGAACAAGATTGGGAAGATACATAAGTTCATGCACAAACTGTTATTCGTAAATTAATATTTTATGAGTATTCTAGTATAGAGAATTAAATTGATCTCGTTTCGCGGCACAATCGACGACCAAAAATATAACAAATTTTCCATTTGAAAGAGTGAAAGGTTTTAGTTTGTACGTTAATTCGGGATTCCAACAACTGAATTATACAAGTAAAAGATTAGTTTATCAAAGACATGTGTGTAGTAAATGTTGTATAAAGTAGGTAATTACGTTATAGTTTTACTTATCTCGATGAGAAAAGAGGCGGCATCTATTTGGTATTTGTATATTCCTTTGTATTAAGCACGTTTTCACATGGCAAGCGAATGACGTGGTGTATTGAGATCAATTGCCGGCTGCTCTGGGCCTAATTTAAAACCGTCGGAACAAAGATAAACTAGAAGGTGAGATATGGCGGATTTTTCTCCGATAATAATATAACGATGAAAATATCTGGAAAATTTTATAATTTCTCTTATATCTTATAAAAAAAAAGAAAGGAAGACAAGTATGATAATAATCATTTTAAACTCGCTCCTCTTTTAATATTATGATGTATCACGTAGCAAAAGAAAATTAGTACAATTCGTAATGTCTCTAAACTAGTGTATCGAATGTGGAAATGTATTTGCGGCATGAAAGTACCTATGTTTTTCTTTCGCGGTAAATGGAATATTCCGTGGCGGATTTGGCGATCATTAAATGTGCAGAGAATTCTCCTTCGGATTAGAAGCGTTTTTCTTTTGCAAAAAAAAAGATAAATTCGTTCCCCCCGAACAATTACAGGATATGACGCGAGAAGCGGCGCGAAAACCACAATTTTACCAGCAGTATTCGAGATTGCATGGGTATTTTCATCGCTTCGTCCGTAAAGATCACTCTGTAATTGTCTCTTAATCTAACTCTAGCGAAGAAAAAGGAAAACGGAAAAAAACATGGGTGTATATGTTGTATCAATCGCTATTCGATTCTTTTGAAATACGTGGATACAGATACGGATTACGTTTTAGGGTAAATGTGTAATGATTAATTGTAATATGTGCGAATGAGAAAAGTAACCGTCGGGACTTTGTCCGGTCGGTCTCCGACGTGTAATAAAATCAGTTACGTAAAAAGATAGAAAGAAAGGGGAAGAAGAAGATGACGAAGAACTGAAGAAACGTGCGGGTACGGCGCACATACAGCGGCACACTTTTGCTTTGTGAACGAGGGAGAGCGAAGCAAGTCGGTCAACACAAACACATGTGCTCTCATGCATTTTTGGCTGTCGCGCAAAGCCGCCTACGCCATAGTATTTCAGATATATTAGCTTTGAAGTAACGGAAGCTCTCGAGAAGATTAATGATTCAGATAATATATACTTTAACTTAGGTAACACGAGCACTCATCTCGCATTCGTAGAACGCGATGATTTTGCAGAACGACGGTCCTTAGCCGATCCTGAATCATATCGTAGAAAGAAACTGACAAATTGTTTTTCCTTATGAAGGAAAATTATACCTCGCGAGACGTATATTTCGTACGGTTGACTTGCACCTAAATGAAGGAAAAATGACGTCTATCTATTTATATGCGTGAATCAGTAATTTAATTCTTATGTAATTATATTCACCAGGGACATTTGATTGTATTCGCCACAGCATTATCGTCTTTTCAGAATCGGTCGGCGAGTCCACTGATGTATCGAAACGTATCTGAAAGTAATCAACTGAATTCGTTGAGTCAATCAATGTGAATTCGTGTCTCACAGATATAATATTATCGCGTTACTCCGCCGCTTCTGAAATCATCGCCTTCTCAGAACGCTAATTGTTCAATGAGAATAATTTTATCATGCACGACACGCGAAAATCACTGCGAAATCACAAGTGCAACGGTTTAACGATAAATTTGTATCACGAGAAAAATCTTACGCTATAACATTATAATTAGGATAACGTGTTCTCTCGTTTCTCCTACAAGGCATATATAGTGGCACCTTAAGGGAAATTATGCATATGTACTGTAACGAAAGTTTGATGAATCCTGATCGAAGTTAGTTTTCTTCCCTCCCAGCCCGTCGGGCGGCAGATTGTACATATGGTTTTTTTATTGGCGTCATTCGCGAGAATTTTGTAAAACTTCACACGCGTAACACGAACGATTTCGCTGACGAAGTTCTTAGACATTGGAATAATGTGCGAGACGTATTATATAAAGTAGATATAATAGAGATCTATACATCTCTGGATAAGTTAATTGTATATGTAATCACAATTACATTGCATAAAAAAATCACGGCACATTCGATATTTAATACTTTCAAATAATTAAATAATTAGAGGATTATCGTAACGTTATTTTTAACTGGGTGTGCTATCCGTACGAATTAAATGGAATTATCTTAAACCGTAAAATTTACCCTTATTTTCCAACGGTAGATTAACACAACATTTCATTTTAGCAATTTTAATAGTATCCATTCTACTCGAAAACAACGTATACATTTGCTTTCTATGATGTAAATGTTGATAGATGACGTCATTAGCGAGGAATAAGATAATTATCTAAGCTTGACAATAAACGGATAGTTCTAACGGACTATCCTCATTTTACGGATTTCAATAAAGAAAAGCTTTGTAACGCTCTTACAGTGTCGGCGATAGGCTGTTGGCCTACGTCATTTTATCATTTTATTAAAAGGGTTATTTGAAATGTATTTATCATAAGTAATTCTTGTATTATTCTACTTATCCTCTGCTTTTACTTGCAACAAGTATATGGAATTGTAATTTGTGTAGCCGACGCGCGCGCGCGCGATCTCGCAAAAGACAGTAATTTTACTCTTACCAATATTTTAAGTATCAGAAATCTCCATTCCATTCTGCAAGGAGCAAAAATGTACAATCTCGGAAGTGATGCATTTTGTGATGACACTGTATTTTCGGAAATTGCAACAGCATTTGCGATGAGTCGCGACGAGGTCCGTAGCTTCATAGTATTATATTACACGGCTCTAAATAAACTCCGAGAATCCGAATTCGATGATACGTCGGTTTGAACTAGTATTATTACGGACATTCGAGACATTAAGCGGACAAGCGATTAATAAGGATTCATCAAACTCTGTAGCGTAACGTAATAGTAACGTAATCTTTATCTATACGTTGTCAAGAAGCTGCTAAATTGCTTTAAATCAAGCTAGTGAGGGAAAACACCATTTAAGCTTCTAAGAAATCTCGAATGATGCATTACAGATGTTTCTCTGAATACATTAATTTTCAACGTTCTGAGCTCAAGCAGCGCGTTCAAATCTTAGTTCTCTTTTTTTTTCTTTTAGACATTACTTAATATTAAGTAGGTATTTTTACTTGAATCAATCGATATAGCGACTTTTTAAAGTCTTGTACAATGTGAACGCTCTGTTCTGTTGCTTTTCGAGTGCTTAGCTATACTTTCGATATAATTTCAATTGATATGAGTAGGATTAATGCCCGCGATTCTCTTCATAAATGCACGGGCACATTACATGTAACGACTTAAGCATATAGATATATAAATATATAAACATGAAAGAAGGGACGCTGTACGCGCAATTTGACATAGAATAATACGTAATTGTCAATCCCTTAAATTTGACATAGTTTTTGCAAACATTGATCAAAACCGTAAGTACCATAAGTAAATTCTTTTACTTGTAGTATCTTTTTGTAATTTCCGGTTATTAAACAAAAGTTGTAATTGTTTACGATTACAAATCAGTTTATATGGTTTATATATTATATAGTTATTATATATTATATATTATATTGCATTATTATATACAATATTAGGTATCAATGTAATGATACTTGAAAAATATAATATATACATATATGTATATATATAATATATGATATGGTATATGTATATGTGTATGTATATCTCTTTTACATACATATATGTATGTATATGTAATAATATGATTACAATATAATACAATAATTTTATATGATTTTAATGAATGGACAATGTTTATGAATATCTCTACTCGGTAGACACGTTTCATTTCTAACAATGAATATTAAAACATTCAAAAATTATAAAAATTATACAGTTAATTAATAACCGGAAATTTTTAGCGATATATACTCTATTGTAAGCAATGAAACACGATGTAGGATTCTACTCTAAATTTTACACTTCTTTACTTAAAACGCATTGAATCAGAAAGTTATTATTCTATATAGTATTGCGATATAGCGTCAAAATCTGACTTCCATAGTTAAGAATACTAAGTTGTACTAGAATATGAAAAAAAAAGGATAAGACGAGCACAGCACATTTCAGCCTGTACTTTTATAAAAAGAGCGATCAAAAAAAAAATTCGTAGACATTGGAACATAATTGTTGCGTCCATCATATAAGATCAATTACATCTCTGCGCTTGAAAATTCGCGATTTCAATCGGGTTTCGTGTAAGCTCTCTCTCTCTATCTCTCTCTCTCTCTTCCGAGAATCTATCATTTGTATCAATAATCCCTCATCTGTCGAAAGACTTATTACTTGATCCTCATACGAATTTAGATGGCAAAGAAAATTGTTGTTCTGTACATAAAAGTAATGTTACTTATATTTGGGATTAAACTCACATCGCTTTACTTATAAGTTACATTGTAAATAATATGTAATATGTTTAGTTTATATGTAGTATTATATAAAATGTACGACTATAAAATTGTATTAATTCATCTTATCGATGCACATTTCCAGAATAACGTATGGAAAGGTGGTTTCATCCTAAGTATCATTTAATACAGTTCTGTGATTACATCGTCACATTAACACTACCGTACGCACACTACACAATTTTTCTATACAGTAATTCAGTTAATGATAATAATTAATAATTCGGTTAATGTTTCATTCATCATCCAACAGTAAATTATGGGACACGTATGAAGTGAAGATCAAGTAATAATATTCTTCGTCACAGACACATCCATGTAAAATGTTAATACTCAATGAGACGAGAATGAAAGTACAAATGCGGCAGGAGAAAGCTACACGATCCTGATCGAACACCGGATGAATACATAAGAGTTGTAATGGCATATAACGAAGGAGAGAGTGTGGTCTCTAGTAGAGAATATGTAACATTATTATACTATGTCACGTTTGAATGCTCTGTCTGCTCTTGAATATCCTTTTTAATTTTACTTGAGTAATCCTTTCGTACGATGTATGATTTCTCTTCTCCATCATAAAGATGCAATGATTGTATATGGGCTGCGTTTGAGTCATGATCGAATGTAACGATTTATTATAAGTAATGCAAAATAAATGGATGACATACAAAAAATAAAAGCAAAGCTCTTGTAATTCTTCTACCGCGCCTCTGCAAGGAAGACGAGCTAAGCACCATTGACTATTACAGTAGTATATATTTATACAGGGTGTCCTGAAATTCGCGAATCAAAATACCATAGCAAGAAAGTCGTCGAAAAAATAAATTAAAAAGTTATTTACCATTTTTCGTATGAATATTGGAAATTATTTTAAAATCTGGTTTATTAACAAGGACTTATTGTATTTACATATAGTTTACTATTTATATATACTGTTTTCTATATATATTTGAATATCATTTGTTTCTTATTGTCAATCGTGACCAATTCCACTTTAACCGGACACTGAAGCCAGTAGCTCAGAAGTTCCTCGGTATAGCCAGTTAGGAAATATATTTTATAAGGTGTTAAGCCGCGCGCGATGATACCAGCTATCCTAATAATGTTGTGCTGCCGCTTAATGATGATTTCGCTCGCGAACAAATTGTGCCACGTCCCCTTCATGAACTGTCGAATGAACATATCTTCTACGGCCGTCTCGGCTGGTCTGTTCCCATCCTTGATATTTGCTACAAGGACCAATGTACTCGTTAAAATTGCAAGAGACCGAAACGCATATTTCTCATTAAAAAGAAATAGAGGAAAGTCCCCTAATATGAGATAGCAGAGTTTCTGCCAAATTAATAGACGTCGTCTGTTGGTTCCAGCATGAATTTATTGCCCTTGGAGCGAAACTCGATCGTTGGATCGTGTAATTGTTGCGTAAAAAGATTTGCGATTGAATTTGGACGTTGAAAACCTGCTGTCTTATATTAGAATCCTCTTTCATAATAGAGGGCTTTTCTCTAGTGATGACGTACAGGTGTTCCAAGCATTCCAGGATTTCCTGTGAGCGATGTAATGAGGCGGATTTGCCATCTCGTACGTCAGTGGCTTGTCCTTGTTGATTGTGATTTTGTAACGGCCGGATTGCACTCTACTGGCTACCCTGCTTGTGTGAAAATGCCTGTGCACGAGTGTCTGTTGCACAGCCGGTAGCATCTGAAAATCAACAGCAGTAAAATTGTCATTGCCACACATGTCTCGCTAATTTTGTCAACAACAAGAAACTTGTTATAGCATCATACTGGTAATTTTAATGTAATTCTAATATAATTATATTAAGAGTTATTTTATAATTTTGTTATCAATTTAATATAAATATAATGTATATAATTTTGATTCAAGAAACTTGATATCTCCATGTGTGCTGATGAGAGGCGTAAAGAGAGGTTAGGGCAGAAAGATTCGTTATAATTTAAGTGATTGCGCTACAACGTGCGGAGGCAAATTTGTATACATTTCTTATTTGTCCCAGTAAAACCATCTTGCCACGCAATTCTCGAGTGCCCTTTCGATTAATCTGCTACAAAACAATCTCCACTTCCGCCGCTTGCTCCGAAACTACAATAACACCACAGAAGTCAACGCCACGATCAGCGTTGCCAACATCGCCGCCTGAAATGGTCATGAGCAGGGTTGGGCACGTAAAATACTCAATGTAAATTACACGGTTTTAGACATGTAAAATACTAGGTATTTTACGTCCTTAGTTTTTTACACATGTAAAATACGTCAACGCCGTATGCGCCCCTTCAGGCCGTTGCTAGAACTTCATTATCACCGCCATCTTTCCCTAACCAAACGTGTGGG